CCTGTTTTGTTTCATTGAAACTGTTCTGCTGTTTCGACTCATTTTGACGTTTCACCCATAGGCGATAATGGGGAATCATGAAAATGCCTAAAACATTGTCATTTCTTGCCTGATTCAGATGCAAATTACAAGGATGGTCGCCCGTTCTGAGGGCATGAAGCCTGACAAGTTTCAAGGAGATAGGTGCAGAGCTTTCTTGGAAAATGCACCTCAAATCTTGAAAGCAAAATTTGCCAGCAGCAGCAGCCTCCTGTAGTCGGGACACAGATCCAGGGCCCTGCACCCCTAGAAAGAGTCCGGCACAGCCTTGCAGCACTCCTGGGGGTGCAAGCCCCTGGATCTTCATGCCACATGACAGAAGACTGCCTCTGCCACCTGGGACTGGTGCTGGGCACAGCCCACACCCAGCGTGGCTCCATGGAGCTCAGCCCAGTGGCAGGAGGGGGAGCACAGCACCAGCTCTGCCTGCCTCCCACCTCTAGGCTGTACTCCAAGTGGCTCTGCAGCCCCATGAAGCTCAAGCCACTCTTCAGAGCTGCTCAGAGCTGAGCCTTGTGGCAGGAGGTAGAGCACAGCCCTGGCACTGTGCTCCACCTCCCACCACCAGGCTGAGTCCCATGGGGCTGCAAGCTGCTCAGAGCTGAGCCTGGTGGCAGGAGGCAGAGTGCAGCCCCCATTTCATTTTGAAGCTGTTTTGATGGTTTTTGTTTCATTTCGATTACATTGTTTTGAGCTTGAAATGCATTGAAACAGCTTTGAAATGAAACACTAAGCAAAATTTCGCACAGCCCTAGTGTCCATACTTGCTGTACAAACCATTGTATATGATAGTTCTACAGACTTTTATGATTTGAAGGAGAATAGTTCAGAAGATGACTTCCTGCTTTAACAAGTTTTTACAGTGACTAGTGATAGCATTTGTTACTATGTGTTCTGCATATCATAACATTTCATTCATATAAAGCAATCAGCTCACATGCATGGTCTTTTTTGAGGAGGGAAACAGGGGGGATGGAAGAGGAGAAGGGAATGTCTTTGTTGCAGGTGGAGCTTTTCCTTTGAGTCCACTGTGCAAAATCTTTTAGTCAATGAGACCTGGAATGATGACCCAGATGGTAATCCACTTGTTTTAATAAGACAAATTTCATAGTTTCATAGTTGGTAGGGTCGGAAGGGACCTGAGCAGATCATCAAGTCTGACCCCCTGCCATGGCAGGAAAGAGTACTGGGGTCAAACAACCCCAGCGAGGTGTTCGTCTAACCTCCTCTTAAAGACTCCCAGGGTAGAAGCCAGCACCACTTCACTCGGAAGTTGGTTCCAGGTCCTAGCCGCCCTGACTATGAAGTAACGCCTCCTGATGTCTAGTCTGAATCTACCCTCTGCCAGCTTGTGACCATTATTTCTAGTCACTCCTGGTAGTGCTTAGGGGAACAGGGACTCCCCCAATGCCTGCTGGTCCCCTCTGACTAGTTTGTAACAGGCCACTAGATCCCCCCCTCAGCCTTCTCTTGTGGAGGCTAAACAGGTTCAGGTCCCTCAGCCTCGCTTCATAGGGCCTGCCTTGCTGCCCCCGATCATGTGGGTGGCCCTCCTCTGAACCCTCTCAATGCTGTCCACATCTTTCCTGAAGTGCGGTGCCCAGAACTGGACACAGTACTCCAACTGCGGCCTGACCAGTGCCACATAGAAAATTTGACCTGATAAGTGCAATATTAATTAATTGCAATTAAGTGCAATATTAATTAATTGATTGGCACTATTTATCAAGCAAAAAACTTTAACAGACTGTGGTATGGGCAGTTACTTTATCTCTGGTATCATTATAAGCGGTGACCACATTCAATAAAATAAGAAAGTATTGCTTTTGTATGTATATACATTTTTAATTATGAAAAATATTGGAAAGAATACTCTGAATTCTAATATAATAAAAGCCTTAGCCTGTCTGTCTGTAATGCTTTGGGCCAACTCTGCATGAGCCGTCAAGAGGGTGCACACGAATTGGCTGTGAGGGCCCGGAGCATTATGGACAGAACCACTGCACCACCACCTACCACACAACAGCCAGCAGGGAGGGGGAGGCAGTGGGGAAGAGAGAAGGGAGGGAGGGAAGGATGGAGGGAGAGAGGGAAAGGAGTTGGAATAGGAAACGGGGGTTTCCGGTGGCAGTACCACCTAGCCACTGCCACCGGTCCCTCCGCCCCCCACCTTTGCTGCCACCACTGCCTATCCCCGACAACAGCCGGCAAAGAGGGGAAGGAAGTGGGGAGGGAGGGAGAAGATGGGGAAGGGAGGCAGGGAGGGGGGGCATGTTGCATGCCACCGGGTTGCAAGCTGCTGGGTTTTGCCGGGTTTTGCCAGGAGCCATGCAAGCTCCACTCCCCACTTGCTCCTGAAAGCCAGCAGCGGTGTGGGGTAGAGTGGTGGCAGGTGGCACATGGGGCCGGAAGTGGAGTGGCAGCACTGCAGGGCACTAGGTGGTGGCACTCCATCCCTGCCTGCCTCACTCATGACAGACAATTTGCTAGTTTAAATATAAAAATTCATTTGATTCTGACACAATGAACTTCTCATATACTTCTCATGTGGCTAATGTAGCCAACAACATAATACAAATTCTGCACCTAGATTTATTTAATTAACCAAAGGAGTAAGATTATGAATTGAGAAGATTACACTAGAAGACAAATTTAAAAAGTAGTTATATAATCCGTAATATTATGGGGGGAAAGATACTTATGTTGCTAAATAACAGTGTGATTCTTTGCAATTATTTGGTTGGAGCTGCCTGTAGTTAAAAATATTCCACAAAGAAATTTATGAATAATTCTGAGCAAATAAATTCAAGAATTCCTTGATCTGTCAATTTTTTTCCCTCTTTCTGTTTGTAAAATTCACTGAATAAATTATCCACTCAATTATTTGCTATGATTTTATTTCAGCTTAAAATATTGGTCAATACTTTTAAATTGGAACCTAAATTTACAGTCTTATCGTAAGATTTTTCTAATGAGCCTTAAGAAGGTAGGTACCCAGACCTAATTACTATGGATTAGGTGGCTGGTCCTTTTAGCCTACTTGAATATCCCAATATTACATCTCTAGTTAGAAATTGAAACAAAGGTTATGATTTAAAAAAATGCTTATCTGAACTCATTGAAACTAATTATTGTTCCTGGTAGAGTTGGGTGGGTTTTTTTATAAAGCATTAAAATGGGCTAAAAGTTCAGCTTCATGGATACTAAAACAATTAATAAACGGCTTTAAATAAAACTCTAAATGTTTCTTTTCAACTGTTTGTCTGAAACAATTTTCATATTGAACTAGACATTTTTAAATTAAAAATAGCAGGGTGAAAAAAAAGTTTACCAGAAAAACAAAACAAACTAAAGAAAATCATTTTGGATCAACATGAATTGATGTATTTTTCCATTTTATGCTCCAAACCAAACATCCATTATATATAGCTATGCTTCTCAGTTCTAAGTATACTTAAAACTCAAGCTATTTATTTAGGCACCAAAATGTGGCCTTTTAAGCACACAATTTATAAAAAATATTTGCTGTTGTTAAACATGCAAGCCTTAAGATGAAGTTTGGCAATAAAAAGTTCCAAGTTTAATTTCCAGGGGCTTCTAGTATTGACTTTAATATTCCCAGACTTCAGGAGACTGGGAAAACCAAATTGCACTTTCTAGATACTCAGTACAAACAAAATGACACAAGTAATGAATCCACTACTTTCTTAGCCTTCAACCACATGACACTTGACTGCAGCACCAGTGAAGGGAACTTTTGACCCTGAGTACCTTAGGCATAACTCACTTATTTAGCTAATCTCACATATCGTTATTACTGTTTTGTCCACCCAAAACTCCCAATTTTAAAGTCATTTAAATGAAAAAAAGATGATTCAAAGTGACATAATCATAAAACTTGAATCTGGATGCTTAATTTAGGAATGACATGTAAATAAGACCTGGCTTATACATAACAGATTGCATCATTATACCAGTTGGGATTGTCTATACAGTACCAGTTTGTCTCCAAGGTGCTACCCTGACATATCTTAGACCTACCTGTTAATTAGACCTTATGATTGTTAATAATTTAAACCAAACTCTAGATGTTTTGCCATCTTTCTTTATGCACAACGACATATTATTTAGCAAGCTAGTACAATAGGATTCTTAAACCAACCATAACAGAAACTTGAATTTGGATTCTTAATTTAGGATGCATGCATTTTGGAATATTCAAAAAAGCCTTGTGAGCATAAATAGCATTTGGAAATGCAAATTGTGAAATCATATATCTACATATTCAGTGGGGGTGTGTACACATACCTCTTTTAAGCAGAACTAGCCTAAAATCACCATTTTTAAGGCGCATTAATGGCACGTGTCCACATATGTGCCTTAAAAATGGTGATTTTAGGCTAATCCTGCATAAAGCAAATATCAAATTTAGGCACAAATAGCTAAGTTGCATTAACCCATGTCTAGATGCTTAATGTTCATTAATGTTGTGTGCAGCAATGGATGCACACTGTGTTAATGTGCATTAGTCCATCTGCACATGGGCTACTGCGACTTAACTACTCGTGCCTCAATTTAATGCGCCTTAATGCGCATTAGCATGTCCATGTGTAGACATGCACCTAAATCACCTTAATGTGCCTTAAGCAAAGGCACATTAAGTTTAGGCACACATAAATACATGTGTAGACATGTCAAGTTAGTATGAATTATCATACTTGTGAAAGGAATCGGAATTTGGGTGTACACATATCTAAACCAGAGCTCTCTCCAAATTGTGGCCAAATTAAAACAACCTTATAAACACATATTTAATGCAAAGCAAAATAAATGTGAAACATGCATTTGACAGTGCTTTGGGATTTAATGGATCTAAACCAATGCAGCATCTCTTCAGTTTAACTTTTGCAAGACAGGAGTAATTCCTTATTATACTTACGAAGATCACTTACCAAAATGGTGTCATTGTTTAAGTTGCAGGTTTTAGGTGACACTAAGAAAAATTAAATATGAGGTTATTATTATTATTATTATTACAGCATTTATAGACAGTTATAGCTTGCAGAACAAAGAACTCTAAAAAAACATCCTCTGGAAAGTATTAATTCTTTCTTAAATTTTATATTGTCTTCAGTAAAACTGCTAATTTACAGCACCAAAGACTTAAGCCCTAGAGGTTTTTAAAGTAATTTCTCTAGAACCCATTACTTAGCTGGACCCATAGTGTTTTAACTCTTATTACATTTATAGGAATTCTCCAGAAGTAAACGGCAGCAATTTGCAAACTTATTTTCAGTCTCAGCAAAAAGCACATGAATGTAAACTAAAGATGCTCTTTCCTAGAGCTGGATCCTCTTACTGACATTGGAGAAATGCCAAGGTATTACAGAGAAGCATGCTGTCACACGAGCCAAACCATTTTTGATGTCGCTTCAGTAAATACTGTACTTTGGGTACCAAAGAGTTTCAATCTACCACCTATCATTAACCTATTAAACCAGTCCATTAAAAACAGCACATACAAAGCTGTGTCATAGAGCAGAAGCAAGTCAAATTGAAACCATTTCTGGTAATGATGAGCTACCTGCTTGCTCAGTGAAACTGGCCTGGATACTTGAATATTTGCAATTTTTCTTTCTTTTAACTACTTCATGCATCATATCAGAACAAAAACATATTTTAGAATAAGATGCTGCTATATACTTGGATAAACATGCTTGAAACAAATTAATTCTGTAACTTATGAAACAAATGGTACGTAAAATCTAATTTTTGTCTTGTTTTGCATGAGGTATATGAATATCAGTGTTTGAAAGACGTCACAACTCTGAAGTGTGGAACCTGAAGAAAGGATGAAAAGAGGGAAAGA